TGTCGCGAGCCATTAGTGGCCACCAGAATTGTTGCTTAACCAAAAAACTGGTGCGATTAACCCCTGGATGACAAGCCACGTTAGAACAATGCCCCCATCGAATAACGTCAGACCGTACTTCCTCCGGCACAAATAATCGATTCGGTGGGCTACCGGGCAGAGGCGTTACCCCTTCTAAGGCCATCTTGACCTTCGACTCGATCTCCCATGTGAGTGTGGAAATGAATAGGGTCTCTGGTAAAATGCACTCGGGAGTGGACGGGCGTTCGGAATGGTCAAAAATAGTCGGGTTTGATGTTTTTGGAACCCCGGCGGTACGATAGAGAAAAATCAAAACGACCGAAAAAAAAAAGCCCACCGAGCCTGCCTGGAGTTGAGTCTTTGGCAGTGCTAAGTTCTTGTGATCGGTCCAGACGAAAAAAGGTACCCCCGACCCTTCTAACCAATGACGCCACTCCTCTAACGCTAGCTTGACAGCCAACAACTCTCTGTTACCAATGTCATAGTTACGTTCAGCGGGAGACAACCGATGGGAAAAAAACTTGTCGTCCGTGGAAGAGCGTTGGGAAAGAACTGCGCCTACCCCCACCTCTGACGCGTCGACCTCCACCACGAACTGACGTGAGGGATCAGGGGCTATCAAGGGCTATGGGAGCCGAAACGAAGCGACCTTTCAGTTTGGCGAATACAGCCTCAGCTGTATCGGACCACCTGAACGTAGTTCTGGGGGAGGTCAAGGCAGTCAGAGGAGCGGCTAGTTTGCTGAAATTGCGAATGAAACGCCTGTATAAGTTAGCAAACCCCAGAAACCTCTGCAGGGCCTTACGGGAATCTGGACTTGGCCACTCTACCACAGCCTTAATGACTTACATACATCAAGAGTCTTTCCCCCTGAAATTTACAAATCTAAATGGGTGAATTTAGAAGAAATCTACAGATGCAAACAGATAGAGGATAGTAGGTTTAAAACAAACTCCATCTAAATGTGGATTTTGAAGGTTTTATTTGATGATGATGATACAGTCCTGAGTCCTCCCTCAAATATGAAACTAAGTCCATGTCACCATCAGGTGTATCAAATATATACTTGATTGAAACTAGTAGCATAGAAAACATGCACATTGTGGCATGGTTTCCTTTGCTGCTCTATAAACCTAGTGAATACTAAGGAGACCATGGTTTCTGTGTGAACTGATTATTTTGTAGACATCTTTTGAAAATGAAACAATTTCGTGAGTTTAAGGAAGATAAAATTAATTTACTTTTTTAATTAATTTTTTTAAAAAGGAAGTCAGAGTTGTGTTAATATATAGCCTATATACTTTTTTGTTTAATTATGAGAAGTGCCGTTTTTTTCACTTGAGCCCCTGCCCCTCAAAATGTCTGTGCACGTCCCTGCTGATCTGTGACAATATATATATATATTTTATTTTTATATGTTTTTTTTATAAATATGGTCCCTTTTATTACATGTCTACATGTCTTTAACCACATGCATTTTTTTTTTGGTACAATGTCCTTATTGTGTTCATGTTTTATCTTGCTTTTGAGGTGTGATATAGGTAAGGTTAGGTATGCTAATCATTACTAAAAGATTCATTCATACTTGTAGAAAGTAGAAAATGTTTAATTGTTTTATTCCTCTACATCATTCATGAGTTTCAGCATTAAACATGTTGACAAAGAGTATATAGGATGAATTAATGGATTCTTGAGCTTTCAGTTTCAATATCCCAATTTCCCTCCATAATTTTGCATGCGTGTTTTGGAGATACCCTGAAAAAGATGGGTAAGATATATGTGCTGTGCTTGTGTGAATAACACAGCATAATATGTAATATACTTTTATTGTTTAGCTCGGTCTGTAATGTAAGTATTATTGGGATATGGGTGGTTATTTCCTTGACTGATGGACTTCCCACTCCAGCAAGGATCCAGCCCTTTATAAAGCAGACAGTAACAAGACTTCATATTAGTAGTTAGTTTTATATTTGTTGTGTGTAATGGACTACTTTCTGCTCTTAATCTTTACCGCAGGTAAGGTTCACTTTTGAAATTGTTAGAATTGTTATACAAGTTAATTAGTTTATTTATCATAATAATTATATTTTTGCATGTCACTATATATATATGCATGTATGTATATAAATATATAAATATATATATATATATATATATAGTAATGCATAGATTGTATTGACCGTATTATTATTAACAATTAATAGCAATAATAAAACAATATTTCTCCATTATTTTCATTATAATTAATTAATAATGGGTATATTTTAAACAATAATGCATCATTATTTAAGTTTGATGCTTTATTTGATTGTTCAGCAAGACACTTCTCATCTTTAGTTTCTTTCTTTACCCTGTTTGCACAATTCCTGATTGTGTGCTAGTTTTCTGGGTTTATTTCCATATTGGTGTTTTGCATATCACAGTTCTGTGTAACCACTACATGTCACATCCTAATTTTCCAAATACTTGTGAAATAGAAGTAGCCTTCTAATTTGACTAATGCACTATACATATCACTACAAATCACATGTATATGGTGCAAAAAGTGAATATTCGCAGTTGTTACATTGAGCTATTTCTGATCTGACCCATAGAAATTACTTTTATTGCTATAGCCCAATGTATCCAAGTCATATCAAATAGTTTTTGACTTAATTTTGATGTTTTAACTAAAGTTTTGTTTGAGACTACAAAGTTCTGCTAATATTTGGTGTCATTTAAATGAGGTTTTTCAACTTTCAGATAAACCCGCCACTAAAATGGCACTTAAAATCAAAACAAACTGAGATTGGTTGCTTTTCAAGTTAGTTGAACTTTTCAAGTTATTTTTCCTGTCTTAATGGCTGGTACTTGGAATAAGTTGGCAAGCTGGGCCAGATTTATACAGGGACTTTGGCTCTGTGACTAAAGGCAAGTGATCACAGGTTGATACAGTCAGGGATCTTAAAGGGTTAGTACCCAAAAATGAAAATTCTGTCAGTAATTACTCACTTACTTAATAACTTACTGAAATCTTAGAGCTGGCTCACTCCTTCATAGGCTGCTAGGTAATTTAGCATCTGCCGGCCCAGAAAAGTTATTAAAGACATCGTTAAAATAGTCCATTTTTCATTTTTGGGTGAACTAACCCTTTAAGGAATAGGACTCAAATGCAGAAATGTGACTAAAAATGTATAACAGTCAATCAATGTCCTAGCAAAAGATCAAAGTCCATACAGACGGCTAGATAACAGAGGAAGAGGTCAGGAGGCAAATAGAGGAGCAGTTGAGCTCACAAAAGCAGGAACAGGGAAAAATCCAAATCCGAACTGGCAGCCAGTTTATACAGTCCATAAGAACAGGCAGAGGTTCAGACCCAGGCAGACTGTAAGACTGGAAAAACTGGAAGAACTGGAAGAAAGAGCTACTCTCTGAGAGAACAAAGGAAATTAACAATTGAACATTCGAGACGCAAGTCTCACCTCAGAATCATTCATCTCTTTCCCTCTCCCCCACTCTCTCTCTCTCTCTCTCTCTCTCTCTCTCTCTCTCTCTCTCTCTCTCTCTCTCTCTCTCTCTCTCTCTCTCTCTCTCTCTCTCTCTCTCTCTCTCTCTCTCTCTCTCTCTCTCTCTCTCTCTCTCTCTCTCTCGTGCTGAGATCACCTGAAATTCATTCAAAATCTGCATGGTTTTAATGTGAATAATTATCATACATTACACATGTTTGATATCATTCGAAATGTCTCAGTGCGACTGGTACAAAGGTCTCATTCCCAAAGAAGTAAAACTAAATGTAATAAGGTTTTTAGGAGTTTAGAGATAACCTGTACATAAAGGGGGTGGGTCTTCCAGATGGTCTCCTGCTCTCAAAAGGTGTAACCTCTGAATGCAAATTTCCATTGTTAACACATGTTTCCATGTGAAAGAAGTTTCTGTTTACATAAAGAAATGCAACAAGAGAATCAGCACGTTTTGTAACTCAAAATTAGCCTGTGATGCAGAGTGGATGACGGCACTCCGCATCATTTATTTCTTAATGTCGGGTTTAACCTACATCTTTTACTCATTTGATGTTATTGTATTGATTATCTTTGAATTTATTATGAAATTGACATGATACATTTACCTGACATAATACATTGTAAACATTTGATCTTATTCTAACTGGCTTTGACATTATTTTCAGAAAAGAGTTCAAAAGAATAGTGAAACATTCGCTCACATTTAATGATGCCCAGATATCATTAAAACCTTTTCATTTATGGAGTCAGATGAAATAATGAGATAATACATGAGAAAATGTAGTTCATTTCATCAAATTAGTTTGCCACGCGGACTTGACACATGTTGAAAGGCAGACAGGAACAGATAGAAAATAATCCATCAGAGCAAGTCACTAGCCAGAAGAAGCAGGAATCACTGGAATGGAAAGCCGGGCTGAATAAACAAAAGAACAAAAAACAAAAACGAGACAACTAGAATAAACGTGTAGTCAAATTGACAAAACACACTGGCAATGAAAGAGAAAAACTGAGGGGTAGAAATAGGATAATTACAAAGCCCGATCAGCTGTGTGCAGCCAAAAAAAAAAAAAAAAAAAAAAACTTGCAGGAGGAGCAACCTGACTGATACCTTTTGTTTAATGTTTTGTCTCCGTAAACAGCTGTTTTTGAACAGACTTGGTGTCAGAACAACTCTACAAACCCCAATGCAACAATCAGCACCTTAACACTCCAGACTATAACCCAGAGATCCACCACTACTGCACCCCCGAGCACAACAGTGACCAAACCCAGTCTGGTGTGTGAAAACAAGGGCACCTTACAAAATGGGATCTGCCTCTGCCTAGACGATTGGACTGGAACTACCTGCAACATCTGTAAAACCCATTGAAAATATCACGTATGTAGTCTGAATAATCTTGCTTGTTGTCAAGGTTACTGACTGACTTCTCTTTTATTTACAGCTAATTTCTGCCCTGAACAAAACCCCACACAAACTAAATTCACCTTTCCAAAAACGTTCTTAGGCCAGTTTGCTTCCTCAGTTGAGCGATGTCCACCACATACACCAAATGGTATTTCAGTCATTTACTATCTTTCAGTATTTACAATATACTCTCTACTTTAAATATCTCTTCATTTAACATGAATGTTTTTCAGCTGGAATCCCCAAAGCTTCAGCTCTCTGTAGTAAATCTACTCGCTTATTTGATCCTCCAAACACTCTAGATTGTGGTTTGACCCTGGACAACATTAACAGTAATGTAAGTAATCAATGTCCAATGATTGTAATATATAGTACATTTTCCTCAGATGAAAACAGAAAAGATTGCATGATTTTACAATATTTATTTTTTATTTTTTAATGAAGCTTACTGGAGCTACTCAAGCCGATGTCCTCTTATTAGCCTCCAGTACCCAGATCCTCACATCCATACCGGAACGGCTAACAGCCCACAACATCACAAATGCTGTTAATATAGCCAACATTCTGCTCTCCCGTGATGAAAGTGAACAAAGCACGGTACTTATTAAGCCTTAAACAGATTTAAAAATGTAAAGTCTCCTGTCATGAGGGACATTTCCAGATTTTCTCCATTTAAACTGTGTGTGTGTGTTTGTACAGTAATATAATAATAATAATAAGTTTAATTTATATAGCGCCTTTCCCAAGCTCAAGGACGCTTCACAATAACCAAACAAAAATAAACAAACAGTTCACACATGAATGGACAATAGACATTTGCCCAGTCCGAGCGATTGCAGTACCTGTTTGGAAACATTACCTTTTTTATGTTTTTGTAAGAAGTTTCTTACGCTCACCAAGACTGCATTTATTTCATGTAAAATATTGCAAAATATTATTACAAATTAAAAGAACTGATTATTTATTCCTGTGATCAAAGCTGAATTTTCAGCATCATTACCTTCGGTCTTCAGTGTCACATGATCCTTCAGAAATCATTCTGAAATGCTGATTTGACGCTGACGAAACATTTCTTGTTATAATATATTAATTGTATTATTATTAAAAGGGTCCATTTTTAGATGTTCATTTTTAGGGTAACAATAGCAAGACAATTTGTACTTGCTCATGTTCTCGTCTTTTTTATGTTTCTCTTTACTCGGCACAACTTGTTTTTCATAATTTGCATGTTGTTATTTCCATACGCAGTGTAAACATTGCATGTCAGTGCCTAATTTTCCAAACTGTACATGACACTGTAACTGAAACTGTACATGAAATAGACAGATATACTAATTTGACTACTCCAGGTACACCACAGAACACTATACATAATCAACCATTAAAGCACAATTTTTTGCACTCTTTTGCTAAGGTTTTTCTACTCAGCACTTATAGTGAGATAAATCACACCCATGTCTCTCATAAAACCAGAAGTATGTCTGCAACATTTTTAAAATACTACTGTACACAGATGAGCAAAAACATTATGACCACCTCCCTAATCTGCTGTCGGTCCTCTGCATGCTGCCAAAACAGAGATGCACTTCCCACTGTGCATCCTAGTGCCATCCCTTCCCCAAGTAAATGGCGCACACGTGCACAGCCGTCCATGTGATGTAAAAGAAAACGGGACTCATTGGACCAGTCGACCTTCTTCCACTGCTCCAAGATCCAGTTTCGATGCTCGAGTGCCCATTGTAGATGCTTTAGACTGTGGACAGGGGTCATCGTAGACACTGTGGTTTGAGCTAAGCAGCCCCATACGCAGCAGAGTGTGATGAACTGTGTATTGTAGCCAGCCTTGGGTGCCCAACACCCTGTCGCCAGTTTGTGGTTTATCACTTCTCGGACCACTGTTGGTAAATTCTCACCACTGCTGACCCGGAGCAACCCACAAGCTTTGCCATTTCAGAGATACTCTGACCCAAACGCCTTGCCATAACAATTTGGACCTTATCAAATGCGATCAGATCTTTATTCCTGCCCATTTCTCCTGCATTCAACATGTTGATTATAAGGATTGTTATTGTTTGCTTACCATCTAATCTACCCAGACCTTAATATGTGGTCGTGTTAGAAGATGATCAACGGTATTTGCTTCACCTGTGACCGCCCGGTCATAATGTTTTGGCTCATCAGTGCTTATACAAACCAGAGTTGTTTTGAGAAACTCTTTTTCTTCATTGTTCAGGAAATTGCAGTGTCAGCAGTCGCTACAGTCAGTCAGCTCCTGAGCGCAAGTCATGGGATGTACTCCTCTGTCGACCAAGATGCAATAAATGAGTAACAAAACAATTCACACTCAATGCACTGACACTTACATACAGAACCATCTCAACCAAATTCGAAAGCACTTTCTTTTTGACCTGCTGTCTGACTTTTTAATTGTGTTTGTTTAGACTAACAAAGACTTTACAAAATCTCTCTCTGCGTGAGAAGTCAAATCCATTGCTGGTGCAACCGAACATGGCAGTGCTGTCACTGAAGGAGAAAACTCCAATCCGACAAGTGCAATTAACCTCTTTTAAAGGCAAGTTTGTGCTCATTTTTAAGCTTAAATATACAACAGAACTCTCAAGAAAAAAGTGGATTCAAAGCATGTCAAAATGACAAGATTCCAAATTGTAAAAAGTGTACATGACCTTGTAGAACTCGCAATTACAGTTCTACAAGGCTCCAACTTGTACCACCAGTCCACTGCAGATTCATTTAGGCGTTGATAGTGTTACCATAGAGATGCATAATTACGAGTACAAGGACAGCTCTGAGTAGAACGCCACATGTTGCGACATGGTGTGAATGCAGCAAAAGAGGAAGAGTCAAATCTAAAATAAAATGAGGCAATATGATGGTCATGAAGCAGTCTTTTTTATGTATGTCCACTGCTGGTCAAAAATGTGGAATATTTCACACGGAGAAATGAGATGCTCTGCATCAGCTTGCTCTTTTCTCTCACGGCCATTCTCTCATGGCAGAGGGGCTCCCAGGAACCAATCAACCATCCACGAGTGTTTGGAACAGAGCAGAGGAATCCACTCCATAAGACCGTCTTCTGTGATTGATAACTCATCTTCCTCATGAGCCCAGATTAAGAAATTAAACTCACCCGTGGATGAGCAGCCAAACCGGGGGATACGAGTGTGCTGAGGAACAGGAGGCCTGGATTATCCCGGCAGAAGCTCTCCCATTGTAACTTCCAGATCGTCCTGAGCACCTGCCGCCAAAGCCTCGTACCTGGAGGTAGAAGGATCAAGACAGAAAGCAGCTCAGGAGACTCTTGGCCTCTTGAAGAAGTACGAGAGTTGCGGCCGCAACGTTCCCATGGGCATACTCTCGTAGTGAGCGCATGACCCATCCATGAACGCCATTTCATCATGAGCGCGGCCCATACAGTGAAAACAGCACTCGTGGCCGTCCGAGAGAGAGAGAAATCATCTGCACCCAGCAGGACACAGACGTAACGGCATCTTTAAAAAGAGGCGATCTGCCATGCAGCTCTTTTAGAGGAATTCACTCCTTTATTAAGGAAATTGCCTCTTTCAGAACGCCGCTGATGCACACAGGGGAACTCCCTACACCTATCTGAGCAAACGCTGAGAGAGACCACTGATGTTTGCTCTGGTTCCACACGCCAATTTCATTGGCCTTTTCTGAATACATCAGAGGTATTCGGGGCTCCCAAGAGTGACCCCTAGTATCTGTATTTCAACACAACTTCAGAGAGGGAACCATCAGTATACTTGTAGATTAGTTGCAGTACAAATGAAAAATGTAGTTGTAAACTAAGTTTAGTACTGTTACACTTAAAAATATACTTTTATCCACTGAAAAGTGGGCCAATTCAGTCCCAAGTGGTTTTGAAATAGTACACTTACAATTATACTACTAGTATATTGATATTAGTATACTTATACGTAAAGTAATAATATACTTTAAGTATTTACTTAAAGGTGCTCTAAGCGATGTCACGCGTTTTTTAGGCCAAAACATTTTTTGTCACATACAGCAAACATCTCCTCACTATCCACTGGCTGCCTGTCCCCTGAACACACTGTAAAGAAACGCAATCTCTGTAGACAGCCCAGGCTCCACAAACAGCAACAAAAGCAAACTGCGGCGACCCGCTCCCCGAAACATAACAAACTGTTCCAGCCAATGACCGACAAGAAGGGTTTGGGGGCGGGGTTTGGGGGGTTAGTGTGCGGATGAGGAGGAGGGAGGGTCTAGCTAGCCTCCGTTTTGTTTGACAATAGTTCGAACGTCAACAAGAAGTGATGTCACCCAGGATCGCTTAGAGAACCTTTAAGTATACTGAGTAAAATGAACTTGAATTATATTAATATTTTTGTAAGGGTTTGGACAGTTAGCGTGCTTCTAACAGTCATGTTTATCTTCATTTCTTCAGGGCAGAGTGATACCTTTTTACCTGACAGAATAAAACTGGATACGACACAGGCTGAGATTTCCAAAGATAACATTGACTTTCAAATGAATGTCATGTTCAGTAAAGGTCTACTTTCCCCCTTGTTGTATTTTGTGATTATTCCACATGAAATTATCTGTTGAAAGTGGTATTTTAACTATATTAACTTTGTCCCTTATTTTTGTAGATTTTGATAAAGATGTTGGGTTTGTCCTCTATGATAGTGATCAGTTCTTTCAGTCAAAAAGCTTTCAACCTTCTCTGGATACCAAGAGAAGAGTAATATCTGCTAACCTTCAAGAAAATCTTGGATTTGATCACATTGAGTTTGCAGTCATACCATCGGTATGTTCCATATGTAGCATGTTCCTCGTTATCAAACACATTGACAGAGGTCGGCACAGGTATGGTGTTCATGAATTAATACATTGTTAAACTTTCAGGTCGATTCCACACTATCCCTCAACAACTTTGCATGTGTGTTTTGGAGTTACGCTAAAAAAGACTGGAGCCCAGAAGGCTGCTCCAAAATATTGAACTCCTCAGGACATGTAGTATGCAGCTGTAAACCGAAAATTTTTAAAAATGCAAACTTTGCCATTCTGATGGTAAGATATATTTGTAAAAGGATGTAAATATCATTGATATTTGACTTAAATGGGTCAGTCACTCTAAAAAATAAAGGTGGTTTTTAGAGCAATGCCGTAGAAGATACATTTTTGCTTCACCAAATAACCTTTAACTGAACAATTCTTAAAAGAACCATTTTTTTTCTAAGTGTAAAGAACATTTTTTAATAATCATAAGAACCATTCTCAACTATATATAACCTTTTGTAACCATGGAAACATTCCATGGAATGCCAATGAACCAAAGATGCCAATAAAGAACCTTTATTTTTAAGAGTGTAAAGTCTATGATGCTGTGAATTAAAGTCCATTGCAACTATAATTTTAGTGTCATTTTCTGCAGGCATTTGATATCAACTATCAGTATTCTGAAGCCTTGCATTGGATCAGCATCACCGGCTGCGCTCTGTCTGTCCTGGGTCTGTTTGTCACAGCTGTGTACCAAATCATAACCAGGTAAAGGCTTATAGTTTACACTGTTAACCTGTTAACTGGCACCCCCCTTTTTTTTGCATAGACATAAAAATCACTATCCAAACTTAAATGGTTGTAATTCAGGAATGCTTTGGAATATAGACCTATGGCTGGTCCTGTTTTAAAGAAGACATTTTCCAGATTATTGTAGAAGTCTAGAAATTGTAAAAAAATGAAACAGAAAAAAAGTTATATAAGTTTGAGTTTATGAAATTGTGTAATGTAAAAATATAATGATTAATATTTCATATAAGATATATATATTACAAAATATATTTTACTCTAAAACTGCAAGAAAATTAAAGTCAAATATCTGAACAAGTTGTATTCCAAATTTTAGGTTGATATCTCAAAAAATGAGCTTTCAGTAAGATTTTATTCGGGCGCAGTACCCAACTTTTTCACTAGGTGAACACCAGACTCCATTACTGCCCATATAAGGGCGCCTCCATTTTCATATGTTTTGAGTGATCTGAACCATGTATTTCCATAATTTTCATACAATTTATGAAGTAGACATCCTATTCAGAAGTAGTATGGGTGGTTTGGCAGTATTTGATTTGAATTAAACCTCTAATAAATGCATAAAGACTACGTTATAGCGTTATAGCTCGCAGCCTCATTACAAATCGAGAATCCATACATTTTTCTTTATATTTAAAACATTTTCAGACCTTTTTTTCTCATAAAATGGAATTGGTGTTATCTTTTGAACTCATGGCATGAAAACAAACTGAGGTTTCTACCAATCTTTCATGATTTTTCATGTTTATTGTTATTTCAAAATAAAGGCCTAAATACTCCTAATGAATATGAAATATTCTTGTTGCAAATTGATAAATTTCTGCTCCTCTGTAATATATTTTAGATAACAGCCACCAAATATGAAAACTAGAGATTTTAAGCTTTCAAATGATATATAGTTTGGCAATATTACTTTAGGTTTTTACTAAGATATTATTGTTTTAAACATGCAATGGCAAATGGGCCCGCCATGCAGGTTAAGAGGTTAAGCATAGCCACAGCTATTTGAGAGGTGAAACTTTTTATAGCTTATATTCATACATTTTGCCGCAGGAAGTCAAGAGGAGGCAGTCCTACTCTGCTAGTTGTGAACATCTGCATGAGCATGACGGTTTTCTACCTTCTCTTCATCTTCGGCATAAACAACCCTGTCCAACATCTGAGTGTGGCAAAGTTGTCTGGTCAGAACATAGTTCCCGAGTCAGACCATCACAAGTACCCAGATGAGGGTCCCTGTACAGCATTTACAGCTCTGCTTCAGTACTTCCTGTTGGCCACGTTCACCTGGAACACTCTGTACGGCATTAATGTGTTCCTCCTCTTCAAAAATGGAGTGTCTGGAACACCTCCATGGTTTCCAAAGGTCTCCCTGGCTATTGGATGGGGTAGGGGACTTGAACAAAACACTAATGTATTGTATAGTTTATGACTAACGTCTTGGTTTACAGTATGGGTTAAAACGATATATGCGTAAATGCAGGGCTGGACTGGGACAAAAAATCGGCCCGGGCATTTTGGCCCAGACTGGCCCACTATATAACGCAACCGAACTTTGCACGCCCTTGAATATGTATACCAACTCCTATTAAAACCACTAACGCCATAAGTGAATAGGAGTGAGTAAGAGTTAACCGATGAAATTTCTACTAAGTTGAACTATACTCCACAGTGATGAATTCTAAAGAAAGCTATAAGCTGGGATAGCAATACCGGTTTTTCCCACAGGTTTTTGTGAAATCTGTGGTGAGTGCACCTCTGTC